ATTTCCCAAAAAGCATGGATTTTCGCCTTCAATATTTGAATATTTTGACTTTTTTTTCGCCCGAAAATTAAAATTGCCGAAATGTTTACCATGGTCCGTAATACCCTCCTGGGGTCCAATTGGGTAGGTGGAACCATCCAATTTGCATTTAAACGACCAATTTACCGGTTTACAACTTGTAATTATTTAATTAACTCAAGCCTACCACGAACATTTATGACAGCATATAATGGTCATTTATGGTTTCAAACGTCATTATATGACCTTGAGATGTATCTAAAAAAATTTCATTTCTTTTCGGCGCCTAGCTCTAAAACCTTCGAAATTTCTTAAAAAACGTGTATATAATGCCTTCAATTTAGAAATTTTTGGACTTTTTTTAACAAAAAAAAAAAGTTGACGAACTGTTTACCAAGGTCCCTAATACTCTCCGGGGGTCCATTTATGTGGGTGGAACCTTCCAACTAGCCTTTAAAACGCCTATTTACAGGTTTACAACTTGCACCAATAAAATTAACTCAAGGTTACCACGAACATTTTTGACAACATATCATGATCATATATGGTTCCAAATGGGCATTATATGACCCTAAGATGTAATCCTAAAATTTCAAGGCTTTTCGATACCGTGCATCAAAATCTCCAAAATTTCTCAACAAGCATGGATCTTAGACTGTAATTTTGGAATTTCTTTACTTCTTTTTCGCCCGGAAATAAAAATTGGCGAAATGTTTACCATGGCCACTAATACGCTCCGGGAGTCCAATTGGGTTGGTGGAACCATCTAATTTGCCTTTAAACAGCCAATTTACCTATTTACAACTTGCACCGATTTCATTAACTCAATCTTATCACGAACATTTAACACGACATATAATGATCATATAAGGTTCCAAACGGCATTATATGACCCCAAGATGTATTCCTTAAAATCTCAAGGATTTTCGACACCGTACCCAACCTCGAAAATTTTTCAAAAAAACGTGGATATAAGCCATCAATTTTGGAATTTTTCGATATTTTTCCTCGCCCGAAAATATAAATTGTCGAAATATTTACTATGGTCCCTAATACCCTCCAAGAGTCCTATTGGGGGAGTGTATCCATCAAATTTGCCTTTAAATGCCCAATTTACCGGTTTACAACTTGCACCGATTTCATTAAATCAAGCCTACCACAAACATTTATAACAACATATAATGATCATAAATGGTTCCAAACGACATTATATGACCCCGGAATGTATCCCCTAAAATTTCAAGGCTTTTCGACACCGGGCCTCGAAACCTCTAAAATTTCTCAAAAGGCGTGGATATAAAAATTTACTTTTTTCTCCCAGAAATAAAAATTCACGAAATATTTACCATGGTCCCTAATACCCTCCGGGAGTCCAATTGGGTGGGTGGAACTATCGAATTCGTCTTTACACGGTCAATTTACCGGTTTACAACTTGCAACGATTTCATTAACTCAAGCCAACCACTAATATCTATGACAACATATATTGATCATATATGATTCCAAACAATATTATATGACCCCGAGATGTATTCCCCAAATTCTCAAGACTTTGCGATATAAGGCCCCGAAACTTCCAAAATTTCTAAAAAAGCATGAACATTAGCCTACAATTTTGGAAATTTTCGACTTTTTTTTGCAAGAAAATAAAAATTGTCGAAATGTTTACCATGGTCCCTAATACTCTTCGAGAGTCCAATTAGGTGGGTGGAACCGTCCAATTTGCCTTTAAACGACCTATTTACCGGTTTATAACTGCGCCAATTTCATTAACTCAAGCCTACCACGAACATTTATGACAACAAATAATGATCATATATGGTTTCAAATGGCATTAAATGACCCCGAGATGTATCCCCAAGAATTTTAAGACTTTTCGACACCGGGCCTCAAATCCTCCAAAATTTCTTAAAAAAGTGGATATTAAGCCTTCAATTTTGAAATTTTTGACATTTTTTTTCTCCCGAAAAAAAATTGCCGAAATATTTATCATGGTCCGTAATAATGTCCGGGAGTCCCATTGGGTGGGTGGAACCATCCAATTTGCCTTTAAACGACTAATTTACCGGTTTAGAACTTGCACCGATTTCATTAATTCAAGTCTACCACGAACATTTATGAAAACAAATAATGATCATATATGGTTCCAAACAGCATTATATGACCATGAAATATATCCCCTAAAATTTCAAGATTTTTCGACGCCAGGTACCAAAACCTCTAAAATTTCTCAAAAAGCGTGGATATTAGTCTTCAATTTTGGAATTTTTTGACTTATTTTTGCCCGAATATAAAAATTGCCGAAATATTTACTATGGTCCCTAATACCCTCCGGGAGTCCCATTGGGTTGGTGGAACAATCCTATTTGCCTATAAACGGCCAATTTAGTTACCGGATTACAACTTGCACGGATTTCATTAACTCAAGCCTACTACGAACATTTATAATAACATATAATGATCATATATGGTTCCAAACGGCATTATATGACCCCGAGATGTATCCCTTAAAATATTAATAATTTTCTATGCCGGGTCCCGAAACCTCTAAAATTTCTCAAAAAGCATGATTATTACTTTTTAGCCTTCAATTTTGAAATTTTTTTATTTTTTCGCCTGGAAATAAAATTGCCGAAATGTTTACCATGGTCCCTAATACCCTCCGGAAGTCCAATTGGGTGGGTGGAACCATCTAATTTTCCTTTAAACGACCAAATTACCGGTTTACAACTTGCACTTATTTCATTAATTCAAGCCTACCACGAACATTTATGACAACAAATAATGATCATATATGGTTCCAAGCGGCATATTACCCCAAGATGTATCCCCTAAAATTTCAATACTTTTCGACACCGTGCTCCGAAATTTATAAATTTCTCAAAAAGTGGATATTAGTTCAATTTTGGAATATTTTGACTTTTTTTTTTGCCTGGAATTGAAAAATGTCGAAATGTTTGCCATGGTCCCTAATACCCCGTGGGTGTCCAATTGAGCGTGTGGAACCATTCAATTTGCTTTTAAACGGCCAATTTACCGGTTTACAAATTATACCGATTTACCGGTTTACAACGACCAATTTAATTAACTTGCACCGAACCCGACTTGAACCGAAATTGACCCAAACCCGTTTTAACCCGTCAAAACCCGAATTTAACCCGACTTGTTACTAACCTGACCTGAAATCAACCTGACTTATTATTGACCTGGCCCAAATTCAACCTGACTTGTTATTGACCCGACCCGAATTTTACCATACCTATGACCTACTCAACCCAAAAATTCAACCCGATCTGTTACTAACTCGACTCGAAATTAAAACGATTGGTCATTGAGCTGACCTAAAATTCAACCCAAATTGTTCCTGTCTCGATTTCAAATTACCTTAAATGCAATTTAGACTACCTTATTATTATTGATCAAATCATTTTGTCTTGGGATACCAAGTCGGTCCAGGCAACAAAAGAAAGAAGCATCATCCTCAAATTTAAGAGTTAAATATAGTATATATTTGTTGTATGGTTAAAGAAGATAATTATCTTCCTAAATTATAAACTATAGTTCCCTAGTATATTGCCATACATATTATAGTCGAACAAAATAATTAGCTTGATATAAAAATGATAATTATCTATTTATAGTTAGTTGAACCCGAATATGACCTGACTTGCAAATGACCCGACCTAATTGTAACCTGCAAATTATAAACTGGAACATAACCCGACTTGAATCCGAGAATGACCCGACTTGGAAATGACCCAACCTAATTTTAACCCGCAAATTATTGACTTGAACCGAACTCGACTTGAACCCGTGACCCGACTTGATTATAATTCGCAAATTATTGACTTGAACCGAACCCAACTTGAACCCGTGACCCGACCTGATTATAATTCGCAAATTATTGACTTAAACCGAACCCGACTCAAAACTGAGAATGACCCAACCTGATTCTAACCCCTAAATTATTGGCTTGAACCGAACCCGACTCGAACCCGAGAATTACACTAACCCGTGAAAACCCCAATTAAACCCGACCTATTGTTCACCCGACCTGTTATTAACCCGACCTAAACTCAACCCAAACCTGATAAAAAGTATGACCCGACTTAAGCATGACCTAACCCAAACCTGACCCACATAGGTTATGGAATTAATTTGAATTAACCCAACCCGAGTTGACGCGACCCACTCTTACCCGATCCGTTTACCCGAATTGTCAGCTCTAATGTTGCCCCTATGCTGTTATAACAAAAAAAATTTTGTCATTTATTGTGAAATATGTGTCTATACATGTATATTTCTAAGCATGCATAAAAAGGGCTTTTGGGAGAATTTGATAACTCCTACATACAGATATATCATATATGGTCATTTTATTACATCCATAATCATAAATCACTGTACTAGTTTAATTCTTCTCTTATATGAAAAACCACTATGGAAACCTGAAAGCACTGAAAACTTATGAGAAAGAAATTTCTCTTATTAATATCTCAATCTCCTGCATATCCAATTAGAAACACTTCCACATTCCCACAAGCATAGGACTTCAACTCACAAACAAATCAACTAAACCATATATGCCACAAGTCCGTCCCCCCCCCCCCCCGGAACAAAGATAAGGACTAATCAAACTATGCAACACTTCCTAGTAATGGCCACCCCCAAATCCAAAGACATGAAAGGTTATATTCAAGAAAGTTGATTACAACCCATTCATCTAAACCCTCAACATTATCGAAACAAAGCAGATTGAACACACATACGAGCTCTGGAAGTAATACACACATACTCTAAGCACCTATATACAGCATAAACAAGGTTCAATAACAACAAAGCTGAAATTAAGAGCAGACTAAACCATACTAGCAAGCAACAATACTTTCAACAGCTACAGGTTTCTAATAATCAAAGAAACAATAAAATCACCATGACAAAGAAACAAAGCAGAAATTGAGAATTTCAATATTATTACTTACCTGATTATGAGAACACCCAAAAGTTTTGATGTAAATTATCTGCAAAAAAGACATGGAATTTACATTAATGAATGTAAACAAAAACAAAGATAATGATAGAAATTACAACAAAAAAACAAAGTGGGAGTGAAAAAGAAGACCTGGGTTCCAGGAATTTTAATGGATTGAAGAGGGTCTTGAAGAAAAGATGATTTAGATTTGATGGGTTTTTTCTTAGGGTTTAACCCAACTGAAGAAAGGGGCAATCGAAACCCAGGAGCAACGCCTCCATCTCCGACCAATAAATCTTCGATGTCTTCCATTATTCAATGCAATGGAGGCAAGTCGAGAAGAGAGAAAGAGAGCAGAGGTTTTGATGCTTCAATGGAGGTTTTGTTGTTGAGCTCTGTTTGGTTTTACTGGACCAAACTTAACTAATTGCAGGATTCCACTTCCACTTTTGCTTATTCTTTCACCATTATTTTTTTTTTTCAAAAAATAACTTTTTAATATAACTCCATCCTTTTTTTTTTTTTTTTTTTTTTTTTTGAGGAACCATCCATTTTTATTTAAGTGCTCTATTTTGATTTTTAACAATACAAGTATTAAGGTTCCGTTCTCTTCACCTTAAAAAAAATAATATTAAGTAAAAATAATTTCAGTTCAGTAAAATTCAGTTTTCTTAAAGAAGAATTATAATAGAAAATCAGTAAAAATAATTTCAGTTCAGTAAAAATAATTTAAGCTCAGTAAAATTAAGTTCAGTTCAGTAAAAATAAGTTCAGTTCAGTAAAAATAATTTCAGTTCAGCAAAATTAAGGCGAATCAAACAGGGCCTAACTATTGTTTCCGTATTTTAAGTTGACACGTTTTAATTTTAAATAAAATATTAATTTTTTGTAATTTTTTTATTAACGTGACTAAAGAAACAAAGGAATTGTAATCCTTCAAAAAAAAACAAAGGAATTGTAAGACAAATCAGCTCTAACTACTTGAGTTATCCCTCGCTCCCTTTTCTCTAGATTATCAACATGGAATGTCATATTCTTATTGGTGTGACGGTGTACATTGAGAAAATGTAAAAATAGACCGTATTTGTGAAATTGGAACATATTCTAGCAGTATTGAGGGAAAAGTGCTCTCAATTATACAATGTATACTATTAGCATTTGGGCCATTTTCATATTGTATTGATTAATGAGTACCAAGTCGGTCCATTATTAATATTGCTCGATGAAAGATTTCGTGGACCAGCAAAACCGTAAGCTAATACAACTCTAGTCTTCTCATTTGTTGATAGCTCTTACTCGATGGCTCGATGCAACTTCATTTGTGTTGGACAAATATTGAATAATTTGATGATCACTAACTTTTTTATGATAGAATTCATTCAAACAAAATTTGCAATGAAACATTAGATATATATTATTCAAGTACTCCGTTTTACCGAAATTTCATACTATGCTTTAAATAAGAAAGTTGAAATAAATGACAACCCTCGTTCAAACACTACCAACTTAATAGCTACTTCAGGGTAGAGGGAATGTTACGATGTTACATATATAGTGTGCCATATATTATGAGGCAAGGAGAATGGATGATGACATTATTTCATTCATCATACACCATATATTCATATGCATTGAAATACTCCATATATATAGTACTAGTTATATGCCATTAGTTGAGTTTTGTCTCTAGATGGTCAGATATGCTCAAGGAGTAGTAATACCTGCAATAAATATAAGAGCAACTTTGTTAAATTAATTGATATTGACATTATCTAATTCACTCATTCAAACAAAGATAGTTTAACGAATTAAGAAAAATGAAAAGAGAGGAGAGATTTGTCAAAAAAAAAAAAAAAAAAAAAAAAAAAAAAAAGAGAGGAGAGAAAAAAATTTACTTCCACATTTGAAATGACGAGGGACGGGACGACCACACCTTTGTACAACCCTAATAGCATAATTGACATCAATAAGAGGTGCAATTTTGGGAGTAATCTCTCTACACACACACTCAACATGAGTAACCCTTAACCTTTGGCAACAAAAAGCACTTGGTGGAACCCTAAACACCACTGGCTTACATGCCTTTATCAAAATATTCTTTTCTAGAGAGCATTGTGCAGGGGTTACGGCCCCTACTTGCTTAACACTATAATCACTAGTTAACACAACTACTAATCCTATTATTAACAAAATTAAGTTTCTTTTTGTGGAATCTTTTCTCTTTATCATCACCATCTTACAAGAAATTATATATATGGTTTTTCTTTTTGGTTTGATATAATGAAAGAAACTCTTGTTGATCTTGTTTGTGCTTTGAGGATGTATTATTTATAGAATTATAGAGCTTGCCTTCAAAAAAAAAAAGTTTATATAGAGGTTGATGAAATAGTTTCTTGGTACGGTCATGTCATTTTCAATTTGAAATTTAATTGAGCATAATTGTAGTGCGTTTTGGATTGCAATCAACTACGGGGTGTACTGCTTTTATCCCTTAAATTTTTCCCTTTTTTTAAATCGTCGCTAAAAAATTGTGCTATACTTGTCCACCATCAGTAGCACTCTGATAAAACGTTAATTGTAAAACATAAGATAATGTAAAAAAATACCCGTAGTTTGGTTGTAAGTTACCAACCAATTGAGAGCGGAGGGAGTACTTTCTTTGTCAACAAACTATGCACGATTGCACGCCTTGTTTATGAATGTACATTTTAGCTAGTTTGAGAGCTCGTAATAAAATAAACATACTATGTAGAGGCTTGGATAATATTGTGTAGATAGATTAGAACAGATGTGCAATTGTGGAAATAGAAAGAGAAAAAACAATAATAAAAGAGGTATGAGGCAAACTCAAAAAAGGTTAAATGGGACAAGGCCATACCATTCACGAGAAGATAGTCCATTTTATAAGTTCAAGTAGGTTTCATCTTAAAACCATATATTAATAAGGGAAGTAACACAATTAGCCTTTTAAATACACAACTTTCCATTGTCTTTAATGTATGATACACGTCTCCATATTCTCCTTTACTATTAAATTTGTGGAATAACATTTTCCATTCATATGGGACCGAGTTGATACGACTGGTACCCAATAGTCCATGCCTAATACAATAATACTCTAAAGTCTAAAGTAATACAGTACTAGATTACTAGTAATGCTAAGGCTTGATTTCCAACTTTGACCACATGCACCCCTTGTGACACAGGGGCCGATTTTATCATAATGATCCAAGTTCGTCGTCCAAAATCATCATGCTATGCATGTATGTAACCCTTTTATATGTTCACATTGGCACTCGAACAAATTTGTATTGGGTTTTCAGTCAACCAAGTAAACGATTACTTTATTCCACCAAAAATTTAAAGATACTAATCAAAATTGTAAAAATTCTACAGAAATGAAATTGATGAAGGTTTGTATACAAGTGGTGTATGTTGAAGGATAAAGTGAGGTAAAAAAAAATAGAGATCAAAATATGCCTTTTGATTACAATTACAAATTATTAACTCAGTAACTACAATGACAGAACTATACAGCATAATTACTTCCCAAAAAAAACAAAATTAATTACCTACACTTTCCAATTTTCCTTCAGTGACTGAATGAAGTCACTAAAGATCATTGAGATGCAAAAAATAAAATACAATATTGGTATTTACAAGGAGAAGAAAAATGGAACAAAATCCCGTCATCTTCAAAAAATAACTGACGCCTCTTCAATCTTCAGATTCTGTACAATTTTTTTTCTCCAATTATCCATCTTGTTAATTGGCTAGGGTCTCCAGCTAGAGATCTACACATAGCGGAAATGCCAAGATCAGCAGCAACTTGGTCATACTCCCTTAAGGCTGCCTCCATTTCAGCTTCGATCGCAGCAACATCAACATTCTCAATCATGCTTCCATGTAAGACATCAGCATAATGCTGCTCCATCTCCAGATCATTTTCAAAGGGTTCCATGCCAGGACCCTGCAGACACCAGAGAGTTGTCATTGACAGACGTCCAAATAATTTGAACTCTAGTAAGGAACATTTCACTATTTAACCAGATAGGTAAATAAAAATCATTGGGCATACACTCCCCCCACATGCGAAGTTATAGTGCTCTAAATTTAAAGACTTGTAATTTAACCTCCTGTATGAAACATTTGGCTAGAAGTAACTAGCTTTATGTTTTAAAGTATGTCCAGATTAATAAATCAGCTAATGCTAAGCTGCAAGAAAAGGAAGCCGAAGTCATTCTTATACATCCTTGTACTATCATGCAATCTTGTCAAACATAATTACTTTGTAAGGAAATAATATTTTCTGATGAAAATTTAATAACAGCTTATCCAGATAGATATTACTAAGTCAACAAAGGAGAAGTTAAAGACTGATGGTGTTTCAGCATGAGAAAAATCTGTAAATCATAGTTATATGGTACCTCACAGAGTTGGGCATAGTGCTTGTATATATCGCTGTTTTCATCAAGATCACCAAGCAAAGTACCACCATACCAGCCATTGTTTTCATCCATAGATGACATCGCAAGATACCTAAGCCAAGAGAAAGGTAAAAAGTCTTGTTAGCAAGACTGCAAGATATTAACAATCAGCTGCAAAGGCCATACTTTTTTCAACTGTAACAAAGTACTACTTGCTTTCATCTAAGGCCATATTATGTTATCCAGATCAACAAGTGTCTATAGCCAATGATGCTCATAGTTCATGAATAAAAAATCCAGCATGTGCATGTCAAATGTCAAAAATATGACATATTTTTGACAGTCAATTAAAAATACCTATTTGTCAATCCTATTTCAAAATTTAAATCAGCACACAAAAACATTACAAACCTTTGGAAGATACTCTCTTCATTGCAATCATCAACTTGAGAAAGCATATTGAGATCACAGATACCATTAGACATGCTATCATTTTCTGAGACACCATTTGTGTTTGTGCTTGAGGCCACCTTTGGAGTAGAACCATTTTGTTCGTCTTTCCTTAAGCCAAATATCCAGTTTGGGCTCTTGAGTTGTATCTCTCTGCACAAAAGGTATAAATTCAATTCGGGAATCAGACATGCATTGGGTCAACGAAGCAGCTTGTGCATTAATTGCATAAGATCAACTTTTGTTCTCCAAAAAAGAGTAATTCACAAATTAAACATGCACCATCATCTAGGGACACAGAATGAGTGGGGAAGTTTGAAATTAAGAAGATTTATCTTTTCAACCAGAAGGCAAAGCATAACAACTTCAGCAAATTGCTTTCTCACAATAAAGAACAAAAAATGTAGAAAGCTTACATTGCATCAGGTGCCACTCCAGAAGTTCCTGCAATGCCAGCAGGCTTTTGACCTGGTTCACAGCAGATCCTCACATCTTTTATCAAACTGCATGTCCTCTCAATGAGCTTATCAAAAGAGGTCAGTTTGATCCTTGAGAAGTCTTCTCTACAAGCAGGCACAGGTTCCAAAGAAGCATTTTGTCCTAAGGGAATGGCATCAGTTGAA